AAGAGTGAAAAATTTAAGGGGGTCTGAATACTTTCCGTACCCACTGTATATATGTATGTATGTATATATATATATATGTATGTGTATGTATATATATATATATATATATATATATATATACATAAAAACTACAATAGTATCTCAATAATACAAAAATAACCCTGGCTATTATTTGTCCCTCCATTATACTGTAGAAAGCATCAAAATGCTGTTTCTCAGATCACAATTTTAATGATTTTTTTTTCTTTTTTGTGCATTTGTGGAAATTTATGCGTCATTTTAATTGTTGAAAATAAGTTCAGTTCTTTCATGTTTTCTTTTACATTAGTTAATCTAACATATTTAACCGTTATCACAACAGCAGCAATAAAAACATTAGCTTTGTGCCTCTAATGCAGTAAAAATCACGGGGCACCCACATATTCAGTGGAAAGGGTCAGATGATATTTCAGATGATGGTAATCGCTCATAGATAATGTGCATGGCCTTAGTCTGGGGAAGGAAGGTCCGCTGGTCCACGTGGCCTGTTGCTGCGGAAACATCTTTTCCTACCTCTTCCCCAAATACAGCAAAAACGAGGCCAAGAAAAGAGAGGTTAGACACCATTTGTGGACATAGATTAATTCTCTTAAACAGAAATGTTCTACAATTTCAAGATTTCCGTCCGTGACTCTGTGTGTCTCTGCGGGCAGGTTTTGTCGGCGGCGTCGGCTGCCGGTGTGTCTGTGGCTTTCGGGGCTCCTATCGGAGGAGTTCTGTTCAGTCTGGAGGAGGTCAGTATTAAAAATACTGTCAAATTGTGAAATATTATTCGAATTTAAAATAACTGTTATCTATGTGATTATACTAGGGCTGCACGATTAATCGAATGTGATCGTCAGTAAAGCCGTTCTGTGATTAGTAGTAAATCTCTAGTATATTAGTAGTTCATTTATTACACAGAGCCGTAGTTCTCTGACAAGCTACGCAATAATGAATATTAATAGTTAATCGTTCTGTGGTTATGAAAGCTGTTTGCGTAGCTTGTCAGTGAACTACGGCTCTGTGTAGTAAACGCTGCTCCATCTGAAAGCATGTGAAAATACCACATTTAAAGTCCCCATGAAATCAAAATTAAAGTTTTTTGGGTGTTAGTATCAATATGTTAGTCTTAAGGTTATCTATAAGGCAGTGTGCTCCAAAACAGTGACAAAATTCGCATTTAGAAGATATAAGCATTCAAAGCTTGCAGTTCGTCACTTCCGCCAAAACGGCTCAACGTTTTTTTTGACGTCACATCGTACTCTGGCCTTTGGATGGAGATTTACTGCTGATCACAGAAAGATACGCATGACAATCACAGCTTCTGTCGAATCGCAATCTCGATTCCATTTCCATTTATCATGCAGCCCTAATCGGAGCTTTTTGAAATCTACACAGAATGCTATATTTTATAGCAATATGGATGAGATTGTGGCTGGCATACCCTGTCAAATGCGGCTTTACGAAGCTCAACGGCTCTGAACGGCTCTAGCCCAAGCTGTGATATAAACGAATGCTATTGGCTATTTTAAAAAGGGGCGGGGCTGCTTGATATGTCCTTGATATGTAACACAGAGTAACGCTGCGTGTTTCTAAGCATTTCAGGGGACCTTTAATAACATATTTTTACTCCAAACTCACTTCATAACGTCAGTCGAGTGTTTGAAAATAAATCCTTATGTGAGATGATGTGGCTTCTTACACAGAATAAGGCACGCAACATATTTCATAGTATTCTAAGCAGTGATAAAGGCATTGCATGATTATATACTTTATCATAATGAAAATTATAATAAGAACTCAGATGAGTCATATATTGTCGTAGTCCTGTGTTTATTAGTCACGTTGAATCAATGAAAGCGGTTCAGTCTTCTGTTTATCCAGCAACCGCTACCCACCTTTTCCCTTACTAGCCGATGAATTTTTTTAATGTACATTTTATGTCCATTAAAAATTGTTGTCTTTATTTAATGAATTGAATTAATGCATTAATACGTGTGTTTCTCTCTCTCTCTCAGGTGAGCTATTATTTCCCTCTGAAGACTCTGTGGCGCTCATTCTTCGCGGCTCTGGTGGCGGCGTTCGTGCTGCGCTCCATCAACCCGTTCGGAAACAGTCGTCTGGTGCTGTTTTACGTGGAGTACCACACGCCCTGGTACCTGTTCGAGCTCTTCCCCTTCATCCTGCTGGGGGTGTTCGGAGGCCTGTGGGGAGCCTTCTTCATCCGGGCCAACATCGCCTGGTGCCGCCGCCGCAAGTCCACACGCTTCGGTACGCACATGACGCTTGCATTAGTGTTAGGGCTGCACGATTATGACAAAAATCATAATTGTCGATTATTCCCTTGAAATTGTAATTGCGATTATTAATTACGATTATCACAATTTACATTGAATGATGTTTATACCATTGTTTGATGCAACTGCATGCCGTATTTTTATATGAAAATAAACAAGCTGAAAACACTAACTGAAAAACTTTTAGTGCTTTTCTATATAAGTAAGCCTCAAATGTCAACTATACATCGGATTGGTTTCTTCTTTAAATTATAAAAAAAGTAAAAATATGAATTGTATTATAATGTTATACTAAAACTAAAACAATGGAAAAACCCTTAAGATAACATGTAGAAAGAAAAAAACATATCTTAAACTTGCAGAATAACATAAGTGGACTTTAAACGATTAATTTGCCGCTTTGAACGATTACGTAATTGTGGCATCCATAATTGTAATCACGATTAGAAATTCGATTAATTGTGCACTGTGCAGTCCTAATTAGTGTCAGTGTTTTAGTTACATTCATACACTTAGGCCTGGTTTCACAGACAGGGCTTAGACTAAGCCAGGATTGGGCCATAGTTCAATTAGGACATTTAAGTCATTTTTTATAAATAAGCATTACTGATGTGCATCTTGAGACAAAACAAAGGCACTGATATATTTTAAGATCAGTCAGTGCAAGTTTCTTTCAGTTGAAACAGCTTAGACTTACATTTTAGTCTGGGACTAGGCTTAAGCCTTGTCTGTGAAACCCGGGGTTAGTGTTCTGGTCATATCTGTTGAGCGCGTGAACACTATGGCCAATAAGCGGTGTTTATGAATCCGCTCAGATGTTAGCGGGAAATGGATGTTTTTAAAGTTGCAGTACCGACTGGTACCAACGTTGGTACTTTTGACAACACTAGAATACACTATTAAGGGTTTTGTTAAGATTTAGTGGCCAGTTTATTTAAATTTTATGACCAAAAAAAATAAAATTGTAAAAACACAAATAAAAGGTCTTTTTTATTTAATGGCCATAAAATGTAAATAAAATCCGTTATCTGTAGTCTCTCTGCTTTGTTTATTACAGATTTATGTATTTTATTTATTTCCATTTAATGGCCACACAATTTTTTAAAAGAGTATCTTTTATGTGTGTTATGTGTTTTAATGGATTACATATTTATTTTTTTATTTACATTTTATCAAATTATTATTTTTTTTAAGTTTCTCTTTTATTTAACATTTTTATTTGTTTTTAACAGATTACAGATTTGAAAAAAAGTGTCTTTTATTTGTGTTTTTATCAAATGTTTTAAATAGATTTTGTTAATATCTTGAATTAAATTAAATTTTTATATTTTTTCACGTAATTCTTTTTTTTTTTTGTAATTTTGTTGTGTTGTCATTTTTATAACTTTTTGTTTTTCAAAATATGTCTTTGTTTTTTAAGTTTTTATTTTTAGTTTATTCAGTTTTATTTATTTTAGTTTATACTTGGATTTAAACTACACAAAAACGAGAAATGTTCTCTTGGTAACTAGCTTTTTTTTTTTTTTCAATTCAAGTTTTTAAGTAATGCATTTTTATATGGTTTCGGTTTTAGTTAATCATAATCTTGGTTAGTGTTTCTATTTATTAATTTTTTATCAAGCTTTAGTTTTAATTTTCAACTACGAAAATGAAAATAAAATGAATTTTAAGATTTTTTTATATATATTTTATTTAGTTGACGTTTTATTTTATGTTTTTTTTATATTGTGATCATTTTATATGAGCATGATTTTTAGGTAAGTATCCGGTGTTGGAGGTGATCACGGTCGCTGCCATCACTGCTATTGTGGCGTTCCCGAACCCGTACACGCGGCAGAACACCAGCGAGCTGATCAAAGAGCTGTTCACGGACTGCGGGCCGCTGAAGTCGTCCCTGCTCTTCCAGTACCGCAGCCAGAT